TTGGCCGAAGGTCACGGAGGAAGAGAGAACGACTTTACTTTCTGAGTTAGAACAATTAGAACCTTACACCCATATTAAAAGAAAGCAGCCAAAACCAGTAGAGAAGGATCAGAGACGGTTTAGCGAGAAAAATTAAAGTCTTTAGCTCACACCATATCTTTGATGAAAAGAAGCCAAAAAGCAAGTTTAGGTAGAAAGAACAGCCAGTGTCAGAGAATATGACTTTCTGTTAAACTCTTCCTTTACATGAAAGGGAATGAAATGCCTTAATTAATGGAATTTAACCCGGATTCCAACCAAGTAGATTAGGTTAAGGCAAGCATGAGTTCAACCCTTTTCTCATCGGCCAGGCCAGGATCAATAGCCGTTCGACCTGAGGGAAGTTCGTTCAGTTAAGGAATCCCCAATGTTCTGGTCTTGACCTTCGCTTCGAGGGACAAAGCACCGCATCGGTAGGTTAAGAGGCATCTAAATGTTTAAATTGATTCACCGGATCTTCCATCTACCGAAAATGGGAAGAGATGTGCTGTTAAAGGTCGCGCTTCATTGAAAGCAAGAAAGCAAGCAAGTTCATCTCCAAGCCTAGCCTACTCTTACATTATCATATGGTTTCGCGGGGCCAAAAAGTCTTAAAAAAGGGCCGGTCAATAAAACAGATCCCGGATCCTAGCTGCTTTTCGAGATGGTTCCGATCCTAACAAAGACAAGCATAGGAAAGAGCAGGACTCCCAACAAGCAAACAAGCAACTCCAAGAGCTCGAAACCTAAAGCGCTTAGTAAGCGGCATCCTCATGCTCGCGTAAAAGGCAAGCTTTTAGGCTCGAAGGCCGAAAGCGCGCCTAGTCTCGTTGCATTTCGCCTCCTACTCGGGTAAAGTATTGGTTAGCTCGTTTTGCTGTCAAGTAATTCAGTAGAGTGGGCGGTCGTTGAAAGAAGCAAGCCCTTATAGGCCTTAGAAGGTGCGAAGGAAATCTTCTACCTACACGCTTTTCATACTGTTTAAGGGGCAAGGCCAGTGATAAAACTAGTTTCCAGGAAAGTCCTACTATCCATCGATTACCAGCTGGGGGAAGAAGAAGTTAGATCTCCTAGCGCGAGAAAAAAAAATGATAGCTAGAAAGCCTGATTTTCTTGAGATAACCTTGGAGAAAAGTGATCAAGCCAATAGAATACCCTGCACTCTTAGACAATCCGGCAAGCTTGGCAGGTTATAGGCAAGCAATAATTCTTATTTGTAATTTCATCGAGTGGAGTTATCTTGAAGTTGGAGTCCAGTTTCTTCGATCTAGTCTTAAGCGCTCTAAAGTGCTATATCCTAACTTTTGGCAGGGCGCTGTTCTTGCGCCTGCGAGCGAAAGCGTAATCATGCGGTTTGCAGGACCAGTCAGTATAAATAAGGGATCTAACAAACTGCTAATTAGAATTGTAGCAGTTTCATACTCCGGATACGAGTCCTAGATCTTTCTTCCGGCATTAAGGAGGCATAAGAGGTATACGTTTAATACAAAAAGTACGGACCCATAATATACTAAAACCGAGACTAAAGCATTACCCCAGTACCCACCTAGCGGAAAGAGTAACAGTCGAATCCTATCCTAAAGAACTATTCATTTAGTCTTTATAAAAAGCATTCTTAATTAATGGCTTTTCCTAATCTCTTTTCGAGGCTACCTTTCGATTTGCCGTAAGTTCCAGAACCAGTACTAAGAGAAGCCCTTGTAAATGCAGTCAAGCATGTAAGTCTTATCCAAATGCTTTCACGCCTTATTCAACTACCAGCACTGGAATGGAAGGGCTAGCGCCAAAAGTAAGTAAAGAAGGAAAAAACTCAGTACCTGTAGTTTGACCGGACGATGCGACGGTTAATGCTTACATCAATCCTATCTTCCTATCGTCCTTTTAGGTAAAAAATGGATAAGGAAGGAAAAGGTATGCAAGACTGAGGTTCTTTTAGGAAAAAAATTCCTAAGGCTCAGCTCAGCCCACTACTTCTAGGCTCGGGTCGGTTCAAAAGTAGAGAAAGGCTAGGCCGACAGGTTTTCAAACCAAACCAAGTGCCTTCCTCGCAAGACCAACTGGCAACAAAGAAACGGCTAGAACAACAAAGGCCCGACTTCCCGCCTAACTCCACCCGGAAATCCTTCGGAAGCCTTCGCTTCTCGTCTCTTATAGTAGGTCTGGAAAGAGCTTGTCGTTCGTATCAGCAAGAGCACCGCGAACAAGATAAGCATTAAAGCAAAGACAGCATAATCGTAAACCGCGCTTCCCCTCTAAGTCTTCTTATCTTTTATAAGTGGGGTTTGCCGTCCCTTAGCCAATCAAGCCTATCCCTGTCCTGCCCTTAGACAGTCCTCTGTCAGCTAGGAATCACCATGGGCAAGGAGGGGCGCGAAGTAGAACTTCTATATCAGGGGTTGAAGCAAACGGGCTCGAGGTCTTCGAATCAAAAAGGCTGGACCATTTCATCCTTACTTGTGGTAAGGAAGAACTCCTGCTAAATTCGCAGATGTATTTTGGGTGGTTTAAGAAAGAAACCGGCTTGTGCTGGTCCACTTTCTCTGTTAGGCCCGATTGGATGAATATCTCGTGCCGAGGTATGAAGTACTAGCTTCACTACGCTGGGAAAAGTCTGCTATAGTTCGAGAACGCAGAGGTGGGCTGAGCCAAAGAAAGCTCCACAACAACACACAAGTAGCTCTTTAAGTTAAGGCGTCTAAGCGGTTTACAAACGAACCTGTCACTGGTCAATCCA